CAGTTTGGGAACAAACTAATCGCAGAGTTCAAAGTGTCGCGTTACCGTGTGCCTTGTGTTTAACTTCTGCCCGGAGCTCTTGTTTGCAGCTTCGTGGACTCCTGATCGTGTGACCAATCTTGCCGGACCTGGACTTGCGAGTCTTCTATGCCTTGACCCTCGGACTGCCTGACTACGCCTCTGCTAATCCCCTGGTGACTTCGTTGGACCGCTCTTCATGCGGATTGCTGTTTGCTGTTTTGTTTGGCTTTGAAATGAACTGAGTTTTTACTGCTGAATTGAAGCTGTTTTGCCTGCGTTTGGACTTGCTTTCCTTTTGCCAGCGAGGGCTGACTGGGACTTGGTTTGTTTACATTCTTGCTGACCGCAAGCCTTTTGTGTTTATAGCTCTGACTTTAAGAGCCTCCTTTTCTTATGTTAATGGACATTAAAGACCTTTGTTTAACTCCTTAACTGCCGTCTTGCCTTGCTGGTCCGCCTGGGTCTTGACAGATTGAACTCTGACAGAAACAAAACCCAGCAGGAGGCATGGCAACTCTTGAAGAGTTGATAGTTCAGATGGCTCTTTTAAAAACGCAACTGGATGAACTCCGTGGGGGCAGGCTGGCTGGCGTGGCGCCCAAGGCTCGTGTTATCGTCCCCGAACGTTTCACTGGGGAAAAGGAGTTTTTGCCTCTATTTTTGATGCAGACCAAGGTTTATTTTAAACAAGTGCCTGCGACTGATTATCCAACAGACGAAAGTAAAGTGGCCTTTCTTATCAGCTTGCTGTCTGGTCGTGCAGGCAAGTGGGCAGTAAATCTGGTCAATAGCGACAGCTCATTACTGTCCAATTATGCCAGTTTCCAGGACGCTCTTAAGGAGGTGTTTGGAGATCCTCTACAGGAAGAAAATGCCAGTCGTGAACTACATGCTATCAGGCAAGGGAAGGAGTGTGTGACGGACTATTTGAACCATTTTAACCACTTGAAACAACACCTAGATTGGGGTGAGAAGGCTTTCATGACTTGCTTCACAGCGGGACTCACTCCAGCTTTAAAGATTGAACTGGCACGCTTTGAACCTCCAGAAACCTGGGAGGCTCTGACTAAAACAGCTCTTCGGTTGGAGAGGAGACAGAACATGCTCCGGAAGGAGGGTTACTTACAGCCGCTGACCTGGCCTAAAGCCTCTTCTAATGACAACGCTGCCGCTGCTCGTTCCAGTCTGGACGTCGAGGAGCCAATGCAGCTGGGGAGTCAATGTCGGTTATCCAGAGAGGAGAAGGAGAGAAGGCGTCAGCTGCATTTATGTTTGTATTGCGGAGCGGGGGGCCATTTCGCCCGCAATTGCCCGGCCAAAGCACCCAGGGAGCAGGGAAAAGGCCAGCCCTAATGTGCTCTGGGGCAAGCACATTAGGGCCAGTGGTTCAGTGGCCCCGGTGTAAAGAACATGTGTTTTTGTTTATTGAACTCTTTTCCAGCCAAGGTAATAGGTTCTCCACTTGGGCCCTAGTGGACTCTGGGGCGACTGGGTCCTATATGGACAAAGACTTCGCTTTAGAACATCATATTGAGTTACGAAGAAAGAGACAGCCAGAGTGGGTGGAAGGAGCGGATGGTGCTTTAGTTGGTCACCGATCTGTTACCACGGAAACTGGGCCCCTGAAGTGGGAGGCTCAGGGTATAGAGGGTCGGTTTTCCTGGGATGTGATTAGCCTGCCTAGGTATACCATCATTCTAGGCATGGACTGGCTATCCAAGAATAATCCCAGAATAGACTGGCAAGCCAAAACCATTACTTTAGCACCTGCATTATGTGGCACGTTGGCAGTAAGTCCAACGGATGTAGAAGGAGTTCCTGAGTGCTACAAAGACTATAATGATGTGTTTAGTAAAGTACAAGCTGACAAACTTCCACCCCACAGGCCTTATGACTGCCAAATCAGGTTGGCGGAGGACGCAAAGTTGCCTGCTGGCCGTTTGTATGCTTTATCTCTTCCAGAACGACAGGCCTTGAAGGACTACATTGAGGAGAACTTG